CCCCCGCTAACCCTAGCCCACACTTAACCCCCCGCTAACCCTAGCCCACACTTAACCCCCGCTAACCCTAGCCCACACTTAACCCCCGCTAACCCTAGCCCACACTTAACCCCCGCTAACCCTAGCCCACACTTACCCCCGCTAACCCTAGCCCACACTTAACCCCGCTAACCCTACCCACACTTAACCCCCGCTAACCCTAGCCCACACTTAACCCCCGCTAACCCTAGCCCACACTTAACCCCCGCTAACCCTAGCCCACACTTAACCCCCGCTAACCCTACCCACACTTAACCCCCGCTAACCCTAGCCCACACTTAACCCCCGCTACCCTAGCCCACACTTAACCCCGCTAACCCTAGCCCACACTTAACCCCCGCTAACCCTAGCCCACACTTAACCCCCGCTAACCCTAGCCCACACTTAACCCCCGCTAACCCTAGCCCACACTTACCCCCGCTAACCCTAGCCCACACTTAACCCCCGCTAACCCTAGCCCACACTTAACCCCCGCTAACCCTAGCCCACACTTAACCCCCGCTAACCCTAGCCCACACTTAACCCCCGCTAACCCTAGCCCACACTTAACCCCCGCTAACCCTAGCCCACACTTAACCCCCGCTAACCCTAGCCCACACTTAACCCCCGCTAACCCTAGCCCACACTTAACCCCCGCTAACCCTAGCCCACACTTAACCCCCGCTAACCCTAGCCCACACTTAACCCCCGCTAACCCTAGCCCACACTTAACCCCCGCTAACCCTAGCCCACACTTAACCCCCGCTAACCCTAGCCCACACTTAACCCCCGCTAACCCTAGCCCACACTTAACCCCCGCTAACCCTAGCCCACACTTAACCCCCGCTAACCCTAGCCCACACTTAACCCCCGCTAACCCTAGCCCACACTTAACCCCCGCTAACCCTAGCCCACACTTACCCCCGCTAACCCTAGCCCACACTTAACCCCCGCTAACCCTAGCCCACACTTAACCCCCGCTAACCCTAGCCCACACTTAACCCCCGCTAACCCTAGCCCACACTTACCCCCGCTAACCCTAGCCCACACTTAACCCCCGCTAACCCTAGCCCACACTTAACCCCCGCTAACCCTAGCCCACACTTAACCCCCGCTAACCCTAGCCCACACTTAACCCCCGCTAACCCTAGCCCACACTTAACCCCCGCTAACCCTAGCCCACACTTAACCCCCGCTAACCCTAGCCCACACTTAACCCCCGCTAACCCTAGCCCACACTTAACCCCCGCTAACCCTAGCCCACACTTAACCCCCGCTAAAATAGTCTTACCTTCTGCCAAATCCTGTCAGCTGGTCGATGATTTGAAAAATCCTGTAGAAAGTTGTATTTATCGTCCTGCAAGAAATAACACTACATTACCCAACTCATCCATACAAGTCTTGAAACACTGACATGATCTCTTGCACCTGCAGGTTTACATTTAGCAATACACATTCCTAAAACATTGGCCAATGGAAAATGGTTAAAACAGAATAGTTTAGGACATGCAACCAAAGCCAAGAAGCACCGCAAGTTAACACATTATGCAATCGTACAGTTGCAAACACTTTTCTAGACCTGTCACACAGCCTGCATGATAACCATTACTGGGAAAAAAAAAAAAGTCTTACCCGTTACTCAAATCGCAAAGTTGGCAATTTCCACAGGAGGCTAAAGCTGCTTGCCCCTGAAGCAGGAGCCTGTTGTGTTCTCTGAATCGTCCTGTGTGGTAGCACAACAGTACTTTAGCAAACGGGAAATATTTAAACACTGACAAGAAAGCATCTTTCACACTGAGAAAAAAGTAGAGAGACTGGATTAATTCAGTACATATTCACAGCAGATGCAGTTAACCAATCAACAGTCAGGCATTCTAACAGAACATTGTATTAGACTTCACACAGCCTGCATGACAAAAGCAGTACTGAGAAAGGGTCTTACCTCCAACTCATTCCGCTGGCAATTTTAACAGCAGGCTGAACTCACTTGGCCACTCCTAGGACCCCGAGGCAGGACTCTGTTGTCTTCTCTGGACCGTCCTGCGTGGAATCACAGAACTACTTTACCCAACGGGAATGTTTTCCGGACACTGATGGCAGATTTTTGCACATACAGGGAAACTGCAAATATTAAATGAAGCAATTAAAGAGGGTGGCATAGTTCAGGACATACAACTACATATTAGAAGATTCAGTTAACACATTATGCAACAGTCAGGCTCTTGACGGTTGGCAAGAGAACGTTTTATTAGACCTGAAAAAAGTCCTACCGTTCACTCAAGACTGCTGGTAATTTCTACTGTCACAGGAGGCTGAAACTGCTTGACCACTTCTGGGGATCCTCGAGGCAGTGGCGATCTCTGGACAGTCTGGCGTGAAATCACAACACTTTAGCAACTCATTCAGAAAAAAAAAAAATTGACAAGTTGGCATCTCCTTGCACACACGATAACATTTAGAAATACAAACACATTCTTAAACTATTGGCAAACAGCAAATTAAGGGTCCAAATCATTCTGCAAGACAGACCGCTACATATTGGAAGAACAGAAACTCTGGCATGGAATACAATTAGACATTTTAGCAGAGCCACGACAAGCATTACAAAAACAATACCTGCAATAAGAGCTCAGGCCCCGCCCATCTGCTCCTCATAAGCCTCCTTTGATCTGGACTGTCCGGTCATTTAAAGTAGACAGTCCATAATCAGCAATTGCAGTGGTGTCCTACAAGATTCCAAAATACATTGACATTATATTAATCCACTTTCAATTATTTATACCCAGCTTCAACCGTAAAACATTTTTGCCGGAGAAAAAAAAAAAAAAAGAAGTAACTCTAAAATCTTTAGCAACCCCCCCCCCATATGAGATATATTTTGCAAATAAACTCACTTTCAGTTAAAAGGACAATATATAGTTCTTACTACTGTCAAGTTTCGTGTGTTTTTCCTGATTAACCACGGCTCTGCCCAAACTTGAAAGAGCTTTCTCTCCGGTGGACGCAAAGGACAACTCGAGAACTGTTGATCCTTTATTCCTCTTAAGGGTGGTTTGGTGGATCGGACAAAGAACAGAGCAGGTTGATGACCTTTCAAACAAAGCAAAACCCATGAATTAGTAGAGTACATTTCGATAATAACTTTCTTAAAGTAATAATAAATGCGACTGAATTCCCAAACCAAAATTATTCAGATAAACCTAGGATAAGTCTCCATTACTTAATTTAAATGACACATTTCACAAAGTAAAGCAAAGCATGAACAACAATAAATCATACTGTCCTACCAGTTGCGTCTCTGGGAGATTAGAAGCCGTGGCCACAGTGTCCTTTTCCTCAGGGCCGAGTGAGAGGGCCATCTGAGCTCTCCAAACATGTTATGCCATGCGCTTCCTGTTCGTACGCAGGCACTTCCTGTGGGTGGAATCTCCATTAGCCGCATCGTCGCCCCCTGCAGTCTGGGTGCGCTTTGACTGTCCGGTGTGGATATGGGCCTTGAGTTCTCTGTGCGGCTTGTGACCGGAGATTGACGCAACAAATACTTATTTTAAAAGCAATTACTGCCACTACATGCATACATAAAAAAGCTTGCAGTTTGAGATACGAGTCTGTGGTAGTGTAGTTCACTCAAGTCAGTCATACCTTTTGTTTGTACTCTATGGCACCACCAGGTTTCTTTTCAAACACATATTGAACAAACTGAAATGAGTAAATGACAAGACAATATTCAACAAAAATGAAATCCGCTACAATTCATAAGACTGTTACTAATTATAGTTGTCATGGGGGCAATCCACAAAAAGGTCAAACATTTTACACATCCACTTACCAGTTTGGCAGCTTAATTGTCCTCAAATTCAGTGGTAGAATTGAGATTAAAAGAAACTGGCAAACTTCGTCCATGTATCGCAGTCAGATTCTCCTTTAACCTAGTTTGTCCTTATCTTGCTGTGACGATGATCTAGTGACTTTGGAAGTGTCAGTTTTTCCATGCTGCGCTCCCAAAATCACCTCGATTCTGCAGGTGTCGAACCAGCCATAGCAGTCTGAGAAGAGATAAGCAATTAGTAAAGTTCAACTATGTGGAAATAGCCTCTAGGAGTACCACTGGCCAATTTCTATTTGGTCTGTCTACTTCACCCAAATGAAAGAATGAGGGAGAAATAGTTGAACTGTTGCATTTGAAGGCATTAGTTTTAGCTAAGGCATAGTGGCTTTATTAAATCATGGAGAGGAGTAGATTAATTGTAGCACAGACAATTTTAACCCCCGGTAGCACAGGGTGATTCATTTCCTCATACAATTCATTATTAAACAAGCACGGATCAACAGGTAACCCAACAGGTGTCTCTAGGAATTAAACAATAACCAAATGGGCTTCAAAACAAATGGTGTTACTGGTGACTAGGCTGCAGCGGGGGACAGGGCCCTCACCGGCTTTGAAGCCCCACACACACACACACACACACACATCAAAATTCACCATTACTGAAAAAAAAAATTACCAAAAGTACTCAGAATATGGAGAGCAGGTGAGAGGCCCAGTCACCAAACTCACCACCATCTGGGCAGCCACGCGGTTGAGCCTCAACACCTAAAAAGAACCAAATTTAACAAAAAGTAATCTTCTGGATTCTAAGGTAACCAAACAAATACTACCAAAATAAAGAAAGACAAAAGAGTATAAAGCAAAACTGCAGTGGCTTCCCATAACAGCCTGGACTGGAAGGAGAATAGAAACACTTACCCACTTACTGGATTCTCAAGCCAGACTCCAACACAGAAAGGGACGAGCACACTGATGCAGCTTCATCATGTGCAGCTTTTATACCCTGTCTAATGGGTGAACCAGGAAGTAGGCGGTACCAAGGCCTTCCTGAACCTACAGTAGCTTAGGAGGGACATTTCCTCACTGGCTACACATTTCCAAAAAGATTATTCATTACTTAAATCATTCATCTATAATCTTACAGGTTGAGCTTCTTGACAACAAAGATGAACTTGTCTTGCAGTATTACCATTTTGATCATTTCGGCAAACTCTCGCAGTGCACCCAATAAGCCATGGATCAAAATCATCCCACACTTGTAGTTTACTCCATTATATACCCCACCAAGCTGGCCAAGCTCGCAGTGGCCATAGTTGAAGACTTTTGTTTTACAGTATTTGAGATTTCTTTGTTAAGAACATACATTTAAACAGTGGAAACATTTGTCACTTCCAATGGAGGTCGGGTAAAGCTACATGGGTGTAAATGATGTGCAATCTGAAACTGATGTCTCTCAGAAAGGGAAAGGTGCACATTTGCAGAATGCAGAATTTGCAGCAACGACTTGCTGCAAAGTCTTTGCTGCAAATTTGCAGCAAATAATTGAAATATATTGACATTAATTACTATTCTTTTGGTGGAGTATATATTACACTGGTTTCGCTACATTTAAGTGGGTCCCATAGTAAACCTCTTTCCTTCAGGCAGAAGAATGTGGCTCTATCACCAATTGCTTTTCTAACACGGTTTGTCTCACAGATTGCGGCACAGACAGAACCAATCGAATAGTTAAAATCCTGCGAAATCTCATCTATAGCTGCATTAGACACAAGAACGATTTTTTGCAGATATAACCTCAGCAATTTTAACCTCAATATCCTTCTCCAAGTTTTGAGTACTCGCATTGTCAAAAAATAACTAAAATAGCATTGGTTTCTATACTTTATGTATAAATAATATAAGTAATACTTGCAGTATTTTCTATATTTATATCTTTTGAAGTTCCCATAGATGTTGGTTTTATATTCACAGTTTTAGATCACGCATGTTACAGTCTTCTTTTTTTAAATACTGAAAGATGGGTTGAAAACATTACATGCAGGTAGGTGCACGTAGGGACACCACGCAGAAGTCGGTGCGACCTCCGGAGGCCTCACACATCATTGGTGATGAAATTATTCATTCAAATGTATTTTTATTTCACATTTGACACATAAGGCCTAGATATATCATATGATGATGATAACAACAATGATAAGAATAACAATGATTTTTCTTCAATAATAAAAATAATTAAATATTCAATGAAGCTCTCTAGAAGCCTTAAATTCTGCAAGGAAACTGAAATAAAACCCTTAATATCTACAGACACACAATAAATGACAGCAGAAGATATTAATTTCTTGACACCAAGTCCCATCCCAGATCTGTCTTCTTCACCTGTCTGCTGATGAGGAAGCTTGTTGATGATTGAGATAACATATTATGATAATAGTAATAATGATAGGTGTTTATGATACTGAAATTCAAAAAGTGTCAAAAGACTACCTGTTAGTAAAATAATCCGCATTAGAGACATTTCTACTTGATCTTTTTATTAGAACTGGTTTCAATTCAGTTTCTTTCTCACACATTTGGTCATAACTGCACCGTTCTTCCTGAGCTAGTTTTAAAAGGGTTAGGGTTGGGTCAGGATTTCATTGCAGGACTGCTTTATTAGACTGGTTTATTTGTTGTTGTTGTTGTAAACTGACTAAACGTGTATTTAATATATTGAATAATTGATTAATAAAAAAACCATTACGTTTCATTCAGCTAATGCCTTTGTCCAAAGTGCATTCAACCAAGAGGGAACCGACCCCAAACAACAATAATTAAGAAGGTATGATTTTTGAATGGATGCTAATGTTAAATTATCATTCTATGATGAAATTGCACTTTCTTGTTTCTTGCTCTTCTGAGTTTGTATCCCTATGGTTGAATGCACAATAAGTGCATAAGTCGCTTTGGATAAAATCCATCCATCCATCCATCCATCCATCTTCAACCGCTTATCCGGGGTCGGGTCGCGGGGCTTTGGATAAAAGCATCAGCTAAATGACATGTAATGGAATGGAATATTTAATATCATGTACCCCCAATTTGACAACCACTCTGATAATGGACACCCACCCTTTCCCCCCCACACGTTTAGCATTAAAACTGTATTGAATATATATATATATATATATATATATATATATATATATTCTATGCAATTCTATGCATTTCAGGTTCCAAATCTTTTCATTAAATAAATATATAGTATTTTACTACCATAGAAGAGCAGTGTTGGAAAGACAAGCATAGGAGTTATGTCATATTTATGTGTTTGTGGCCCTTCTTGTTAGCAAAATAAATATCAAACAAAAGAAAAGCGTGCTTGGACAACTTGCTCTCTTTCTGCATAAAAGGAACGAACCAGTGGTGCATTAGTGGCCAATTGACACAAAATGTTTATTGATCCCAAGGACAAACGGCCACCACACTATGAATGTACGTTGAGACCACAGGTTAACTGGAATAAAATTTAAATGAATGTGTATACATTAATTAATCTGATTCTCATCTCCCCATTATAAAATTAATTACATTTGATTTATCCTTCAGTTTATCGATTCCAGTCTTTTAAACTGATCTGTTTTTATAATAACGTCCACCCAAATGGTAACTACAGAGACCTAACCCTCCACCCAAAGGGGTTAACTAACCCCCTAACATACCTAAAATTACATAAGGCCACGCCCCCTACCCAACCCTTCATAACAAGGCCATGCCCACTATACCAATGTAAGCTTAATTCTACAGTGCAGTACTATGATGTCAACTTCGTACTGTTGCCTCACAGCAAGAAGTTAATTAAACTCGTTAATGAAAATAAAAGTATTTAATACTAACTAGAATATAGAAAAATCAACACGTTATCAACACCAGTTGTAAGTACAGACAGAAGTCCTATGACTCAATTCAGCTGAAAAGGGACAGATTGTTTTCATAATGATACTGGTCAATGCCACCTTACATAAATAGAACCTTTCTGAGTGGATAAACATATGTTTGCTCTACTTCAATGTCCAAAGTCCAAGAATATTCAGTCATGACTCATCAGAAACACTGGCTGGTTACAAGCATAAATTCACGCTGTTCTTTACCTTTTTTTTAAACCACGAACTCAACAACTTTTGAACAAACAGATGTCAGTTGACTTAGTCCATCAGTTCACCTTTGGTGTGGGTGTGTGTCAGTAGAGGATAAAAGTCCAACTTCATTCTTAATGTTATTCACTTTTTGCCACTTGTTGAGTTGCATTGACAGAAGACCAGAACCATGAAGGTGTACTTGCTGCTACTGCTTCTGCTGCCACTTTGCACAGGTACGACAACACACCCACATTTATTAATTTAAACTAATGGTACGATCGCACATTTTAACAAATGTCCAGCAAACTGTATTATTACAAAAAATGTTTTTATAAGGTAAACATTGCGTCTTTTTTAACATGATATGTATCAACAAAAAAGCTCTTCATGTTCTTACGGAGGTTAGTACTGGTCCAACGCAGGACCAGTACTCACCTCACATACATTACCAGACATAGCAGTATGGTAAGGCATTTGAATTTAGGGTTAGGTTGGGATGGGAGCACACAGAGAATAATTAAAAAAAAAAAAAAAAAAAAAAACCTTTTCGGAGTTTATATAAAAAAACCTTTTTTAAATTTAAAATTCCAACACACGAGTTCAGTAAAACAAGACAGAGCACACAGCCATCTGCACGGTTCTCTGCGGGTTTAGAGACTATTTAAATGTTACAGTATGCTACCAGTCAGCCTGGATATTTAGCTAAAATATTTAAATTGTGTAAAATTAACATAAACTTGTGTTTTTTTTATCAATAAGTGTGAACTTACACAGGTGACAGCAATGGAAAGTGTTATCGTTAAAGCTAATGGGGGTTTACCTGTAATAGCTGATTTATGGTTAAAGTATTAATGCGTTTTAAACTGTGTCAATCAATTGTAACATTAAGATCATTAACACATTTTTCCCCGCTAGGAGTCCTGAGATATTTACTTAGACAAATAGGTCAGGTCTCGGAAGAAATCTGGTTCTGATTTTGTGTTGCAGCTCAGAAATTTACCATTCAGTGTTATGGTGAAGATTTCCTGATGGTCAACAACATGCTGCTAGATTGCAGCGGCCCAGTTCAACAAGCATGCTACACCAGAGGTGAGTGTCAGTCTGGATTTTAAAGTTCGTCTTTGTGTAGCTGCATCTAAACTAAAAAAAGAAAATATTTTTATTAATATTCTTTTGCATGAGTCGATGCTCTGTCAATGACTTTGCTGTTTACTATTGCAGATAACGGAGAAAAGGGTTGCACTAGTAAGGTCAACTGCTCTAAACCTGGATGGACCTGTTGCCACACCGACCGCTGCAACGCTTGAGCCAATCACAATGCAGGGATTACTGCCATCATTGAAAAACATGTTGTGAAATAGAGCGAGGGAAATATCCTCTTAGTGCTGTTTCTGTGACCTTAATAAAGCAGTAACCTCATTAGTTGTCAAATGTTCAGATTCTTTTTTTTTATTATTATTGGATTCAAGTCAAAGTACACAGGTATTTTTAGCTTCATGTAGTTAAAGCAGACGTGTTAAACTCAACGACGGCAGGCCACTTCCGGCCCTCGGTATAATTATATCCGACCCAGGAGAAAATATTTATTAATGTCTATTTTACCTGGCCCCCCCAGTGAACAAGGACCTATAATTATTCACTTTGTATCACTGCATCACCAGAAACACTGGGTGGCAAAGCCCTCCAAACAGAACATGTAATAAGCACAATAACTAGGTAGGGAAACTTCATCAGAGCTAAACGCTCACCAACTATTTGTCTTTTCTGAGGATATGTTTTGAACGCGGCGACGTGCATGATTACCTACAGGGGCAACAGCAGAGTCGAGGGAAAGTGCTGAATAGATTTTATGAGTCACATAAGGAAATCTGCTAGTTTCTGGAAAGCAAAGGGAAAGCCACCACTAGCCATCCTTTATGGGCGACTTTATAACAATGCCTCAGTACGTGAACCTTCAGTTTCATGGACGTGTGACCACACACATGTATGAGCTTTCACAGCCAAGCTGCCTCTGAGAGACTGCGGTGCAGCAAGCTTTGGTCACTGTTGCCACACAATGACAAACCACGTTTCCAGGACTCCATCTTGATAGCGTGATCAAAGTTGAAAACCCGGTTGGGGTCATCTGTAAGAATTCTGCCGAACAAATTCTGTTGTTCTGGTAGATACATTCGGCAGATCACAGGTAAAATACCAGCGCTGCGTTTGCAAATACAGTGAGCAGTTCTGTCAGCACCCAGGCCGGAAGAACAACGAACTTAAAATCAGGAAAAACATCACGTTTGGCACTCGTTCTTACGATGTGGAAGTAAAGATTCTTATTTGTCCCTATACTAACGTCGAGAAGTAGCTCCTCCCAGCGCAAAACTGCATCCAATCACATACTGTTAGAGCCATATTTTCTGTTTTTGTTACAAACCACATTATGTATTTTGTCGGTAGGAATTATGTGTATTCCCTTAATGTATGTTAAGTTCATTTTTAAAACAACTTTCTTTATGATTCATCAGATGGACCTGACGAGGATCAGCGGTTGAGAGAGAGGACGGGGTGGGACCGAGTCACGGGACTTCTTTTTGTATTGGACGGGATCGTGGCACAGTCTTTTGACCTCATGTTGTTCACTCTGTTAATCGTATAAAGACAAATTGTATTTGGGGTTGAAAGAAACGAATCATTTTTAATCAACGACGTAAATGAGATTACAAGTCTGGAGGGTTTTGTATGGAAACGAATTTGAGAGTCAGGAAGCGGAGTCCCGGGCACCGAAACCAGGAAATTCAAAAGCAAGCCCCCACACATACAATGTGGGGGTCTGCTGACATTGATGAAAAAATAACAAAGTGTATATGTATAGTGCAGTGTGTCTCGATCTCTCTGTTGCTGCCTGGTTGGCACTTTCTGCTTTGTTTTAGATCGTGCATTCCTCAAGCAGGATAAAACATGGAACAGTAACTCCCTAAATGATCAGTAAGAAAAACGTTTTTGAATATCAATCCCTCTTAACATTGTTGATCTAGTGGTTCACATAATAAATTATGACTAATCTCAATGTTAATAGATAATAGAAAATTATTCTGGGATTTCCATGATCAATTAATGGGTGAGTACAAAATGCAAGAAAAAGCTAAGCTAAACCATTTGTTCCGGGAGTACATTCATCTCAGTAATAGGAAACCGTTGTCCCCAGGTATTTCAAACCCTAACTTCACACACAGATTTTTACTGAGCATAATAAAACCAATACATCCTAGCACAAATGTCTCACACCCGCAACAGTTAGCACATTATGTAAACAGCAATTGGGAACATATAATTTCTACTTCAGGTCTATCAAAGTCGGTTCTTAACGACTAGATCTCTTCTTGTAACAAAGCCATCAGGTACGGCAGGGGCATTGTAGCATCTACCGCAGTGGAGGTGCTTTAGAGACAATCGTTTGATACAGGGGATGCAGCAGCACTCACAGGGACAACGCTACCATTGCAATTGCAACTCTACATCACGGACACAGGCACAGTAGGGGATCTTGAGGTGAGTAGTCAGTTTTGAAAACATTTATTAGCATTTTTTTTAAAGAAATCTTTAGTACTTTAGTCTGTCGTCTGAGAGGAATGCATCAGAGAAGACTAATTTGGCTCAAAACAGTCACACAAACATTATCATCATCTTGTGTAATCTGTAAAATAAACAAACATTTGAATCCAGAAATCCCCATATGGCACTGCCTCAAAACATAACCCCCCATAACCCCCACCCCATACCCCTCTGGCACAGTCCCTCCATGGACATCCAGTGAGTCCCGAAACTCGACGCCATCCCTTCACAGAGACGGGCATTTAAAAGATGAAAAGTATCAACGAGGCAAAAACATCAACGACTCACATCCCCCTTCTTCCACTGTAAGGCCCCAACCCCATCCGGAGTGACATCATCATGACATTCAGATTACATTTTCGACATAAATCGTCCATAAGACACAAAAACTAAAAGCCGTCATTCAGTGAGTCACTGAATCCAGCCAATCAGAGGAGGGGTTCTCATGTGCTATGTGATGTAATGGGAGCATAAAATGGGATTTTTACAGTGTAACCGAGGAGCTGCTGTCCTTGGTGAACAGAAATATAGATATCTGCAGTACATACATACAGATCTGATCCACTTCTGACTAGTCAAAAACATTTGAGTCACAGTTTTTACTCTGGAGGTCAATGTCATGTGTATACTAACCGCTCCACTGTCTACGGTCAGACATTCTCAATACAGATACGAGGATGTATGACTGCGTGGTTGATGTTCCTTAGTGAAGGAGTGGAAGTTGACTTCTCTCCTTTGGTCGGGTAATTTAACATTACTCTCTTTTTAGGTTTGTACTGGGTAGTTCATACATCTTTCATGATTTACATGAAATGTCTTGTGTCATTGTAAAACAGTCATGTATTTTTAGTTTTTAAATGCAATACTTTACATACGTGTGTGGAGTTTGGCAATTAAACTAAATAATAGTGCAACAAAGTCGAATGAATGAATGCGTGAATGAAACTTGACTTTTCTGTTAAAAACAGAATTTATGGTGTGCAGATCATAGTACATGATAAAAACTAGAACCCGGATCAATAATAGTTAAGGCATTTCTCATAAGACACTGATAAAACATCATTAATTTCTTCATATCTAAAGAACTACAATTGTTAAACCAATTTTAAAAAACAACCAGTTTCTAAAAGACATTTAAGACTTGCAGGTTCATCTCCTGTCTTAACTGCTCTACTGTTACTGGAGGAGAAAAAGTTACCTGATAGCCACCTGTCACACCTGTGTTCCAGGCCTGTCCTCTGCTCTCTGTAAAAAGTACATCTTGACCAGGGTGCGATTTCAAACTGTCTAAAGGAAGAGAGTAAATGTCCAGGTGTGACAGGTAACTGCTCCTCTTCCAGTATTTCCTCAGGTAAATCAAGACTCTCCAGGTGTATCAAATTGTGACACCACATTTGATTAATCTGAAGAAATGTGACTTTTAACAGTTGACTGTTGAGAAGAAACATGGGACACCGGAGCCACAGGTTTGAATCCCAACACATACCCTTTTATACATTTATATTTCTGGGGACACCCATTGAAAATGCATGCCCGAGCCCCTTAAACTAACCATTATTTAAAGTAAGTGTTTCATCTGTATCCTATTCTTGATCTTACGGAGTTATGTATCATATTGTGTTAACCCCTGCTTACTTCCGAGTTACTAAACCATAACTAAAGCCTAACCCACATAAACTGAATGTAAACCTGATTCCAATCTTAACACTAAGTCCCCTTCCTGACATGTGAAACTCATCCTGTTCCTCACAAAGACAGCTGTAGCGACACTCATGCACGCATCTATGAGGGAGGCGTCAGAGGGGGAAGCCCTTCATCACTGGGCGTGGCTGTGTCATCACTCGGCTCCAGACTGTCCTTCAGACTCACGGTGCTGTCTGAGGGGGGGGGGGTTGAAATGGAATGGGGAGGGGTTAACTCAGACGTAAGCGGATCCACTGTTGTAGGGGGCGGGGTGTCTCGGAAGGGTTCCTGGGTTCCATTGGCTGTTGGAACTGGGTTGTGTGTTGTCACTTCAACACACGACCCAGTGGGAGGAAGCAGGGTGAAGAGGGGGTCCACTCCGGCGGGGGCAGGGTTAGACAAGAGGCTGTCAGGGACGGAGAGCAAAGACTTCTCCACCAAACGCCACTGCATGATGCTGGTGTCCTTACCCCCGGTTGAGATCAGGTGACTGTCGTTATACAGGAAGCTGACATTCGTCACATGACTGCTGTGAGCGTTGTACTTATGGCTGGGAGCCTGAGGACAAACAAATTGATTATTGATCGATCCAGTGTTCGGATGTTACATTTTCTCTGGAATGCTTAGGGTTATGGTCCAGTAGAGCTAGGGCCCTAGTTACATCGGAGCCTAGTAGAACTAAAGCCCTAGTTACACTGTCTCTGTGTGTCTCACCTTGGGGGTGGAGCATGGGTAGGCGAACAGATGAACTTTACAGAAGTCATCTGCCAGAGCGATCACCTTTCTGTTGTGAGATCTGATTAGAGCATTGATGTCAGTCCCATCTGAGCCCTCCGGCCACACACCTGTCAGACAGACAGACACACACACACAATACTGAAATAGGGACAAACTAACGCTTCACAGTATTTTGGATAAAAACAGTAAGTCACGTGTTTGTATACATTTAGTTTAAGTTTAAATACAGCAGGTTTAGTATTACTGCGTGTGGTAAGTGTACCTTACGTGTGCATAGGTGTAATCTATGTAGTGGGTGTACAGGTGTTTTCAGTTTACTAGCTTTACCAGCTGTACAGGTATTGCAGGTGAACTAACCGAACACATGGTATCCCAGTACGCAGGTATAGGTTGCCCAGTCGATG